TCTGCATGGAGCACTGGGTGTTATGCACAAACAATGAATCATGGAGCACTTCATCTAGAACTAATGATGTAATGTATGGGGATTAACATAAGAATAAAGAAAAAAAAAAAAGAAGTTAAAATCTAGTGATACATCTTTCCCTTAGGCAAACTCACGAGAACAGCTCCTGAAGTTAAATCAGGATGTGTACTTGTGTCTGGAAGTTTTCCAGCTCCCTCCTGGTTGAAGGGAATCCTTGAAGCACCAGGCGCCCTGAGCAGAAAACTGACACTTGGTACTTTCAGATATGCCGTCGGTGAGAGCCATCTGGGGAAACCGCCTTTTGTGCGTTTTCAGTAAAAAAAAAAAAAAAAAGTTAGTATTTCCACCCCTTCCTGTGCTGTGCAAAACACCCTGTCTTTGTGGTCTCCTAAATGACACTGACAGTATGTTTTTTAGTCTCTTTAAAAGAAGAACACCTGGTTTGAGTCCTGTGCCTGGCCCACGCGGCTCAGTTTCCGTGGACATGGCCCCGTGGGCACGGAAGGCCGGGTGCAGGTGCAGAAACTCGGGGCACAACAGATCAGTACCTCAGAGGGCACGGGCATTCTGTCAGCTCGTTTTTACTTGCAGAGCTTCAGGAGACATTAGGTTTCTCCTGGGCCACGGGTTTATAAATTTGGCTGCACGTTGGAATCACGTGGGATCTTTCTTTAACGTTCTGATTCCTGGCTCTCACCCCTCGATACTGATCATTGGGCTGAGCTGATGGACCGGACAGTGGGATTTTTAAGAGCTCCCCGGATCATTCTAGTGGGCACCAGAATTCGAGAGCCACTGACCGAGACCGTCCTCTTCCTCCACGAATGGGTCGCCACCACCCAGCGGCTCAGGAACGGCTGTGCCTCGCGTCGGCCCTTCACCCAGACCTGGGTTCGCTGAGCGTGGTCAGCAGACCCTCACAGCTGTCCCCTGGCTGGTGTCCCCACCACCCCCTCGTGAGCACCCTCAGATGACGGGGCCAGGCACACGGTGCCCCCCCAAGGCCCCGCTGCCTTCTCATCACCAGGAGACTCACATCTAACTGTATTGCTCCCTGCTGCTGGTGGGGTTCCACAAGAGGAGCGGTCCTGCCGGCCCCTGGCTCCCCCTGCCACCTTGCCCCTGACGGGACAGCCCACACGGAGCCCCTGTCCACCTCCGCCGACACCCCGTGCCCACCTCGGCTCAGCTCTCCTCCCATCGTGTTTCTTCTGTGCAGCGAGGTTCTCAACCTGTCTCCATCCTACTCTTCACTGAGCCACAGCGTGAACAGCACTTTCTCGAAACCCCGTCACTTGGCGCAGCATGGGTGACCCTTGAGGACTTTGTGCTGAGTGAAATAAAGTCGCAGGAGGACAGACACCGTGTGATTCCATTTACCCGAGATGCTCCGAGTCACCAGAGTCGTGGAGACTGATGGCAGACGCGGGGGGCTCCAGGGGCTGGGGAGGGGTGAGCGTCAGTGTTTCGTGGGGACAGAGGCTCAGCTGGGGACGACAGGAAGCTTCTGGAGACAGTGACAGCGATGGCAGCATCACAGTGTGAATGTGCGCAATGCCACCAGATTATACACTTAACCATGGTTATGGTGGCAAATTTTGCGTCGTGTATGTTTTCCCACAATAAAAAAATTTTCCGTCATGTTCTCAGGGAGTCCTTTGACCTAAATTGGGGAATCCTGTTACATCTTCCCGGAGCTCCCCCTGCCCCCACCAGAACATTTTCCTGGTAAAGTTTGTCTTCTTTCCCGGACTGTAAGGAGAACGAAAGCACATTATATGTCCCACCCCATTAATCATGGCACCTTAGAGGAGGTGCCACTAAGTAATCGTAATGACTGTTGAATGAATAAATGCCAGGTTCCCGGTGTGTCCTCCCCCCTCCCTCCATCGGAGTTGCTAGGAACAGTACAATAATGGACAACAGTCATTGCGGTTTGAGTGGACGTGCCTGAAGTATGAGACCGCACATTGTCCTGTCCTGGGGCAAACTGTGTGAAGTAGGGATGGGGGAGATGTAGGGGTACGTGGGTGAGCCCCAGATGATCCCGACGCTGGCTTTGTTCTATCGGAGAAATGCAGCAGGCCAAAGCAAACCACACCACCGACTTCAGATTTCTTAAGAGCACCATATTTAGAACCATGTCCTGGGTTAACACGGTGTTTTCTCTCCTCCCAATTAGATATTTATCTTCGAAAACAATATCTACTACTGCGCGCACGTCGGGAAGCAGGCCATCCGTGTGGTCTCGACTGGGAAGGAGGGCGTGATCTACAACGGCCTCAGCGACTGGCTGTATGAAGGTGAGCCGCACGGTGGGCTGGACAGCTCTGTGGGCCCTGCTGCCGCGAGACTGGCTGTCGCCTTTGACCTCCACTGTAAGTTTACCTCCCATTTCTTGAGGTTCTGCCAGGTTACAAAGACGCTGTTGGGGCGTCAGGGAGCATCAGGCCGTCAGTGGGAGCCCTCACCTGGTGGCCAGGTGCGCAGAGCTTTCCAGAACCCAAACTCCCGGCGGAAGGGGCAGGAGGCGCTGTTCTGGGAGGTCCGCGAACACCGAGGTTTCCCGAGCCCCTCCCCAAGAGGTAGGGTGTCTTGTTTTGCCTGGGGGTGGAGGGAGAGCTGGAGAAGAAATAACGGGCAGAGCTTTCCGAAGAAGCTGGTCCGGGTGATTTGCTGTTTCGAGGACATGCGCCCTGGTGCACGTTTTCTCCTGCTGGCTTTCCTCTGCGCCAGAGTTCTCCGCTGGAATGCATTATTAAATAACTAAAAATGTGAGCGGGAGGCTCTCTTCTTGAACATTTATAATCTGTCTCCACGCGGATGAGACTTCTGTCTTAACAGCAACGATCATGTATTGATCGCTATCGCGTTCTGGTCACTGTTCTGAGCACTTTCTTATCTGTAGCCTCATCTAACTGTCCGTCTGAGGCAGCTCTAAAGGGCACTGTAGACCGGGGGCTTAAACAACAAGCATTTACTCCTCACAGTTCTGGGGGCTGCAAGTCCAAGATCAGGGCGCCGGCCGATCCGGTGTCTGTCGAGGACCCACCTCATAGACAGTGTCTTCACTGCGCCCGCACACGGCAGAGAGGGGGAGAGAGAGAGCTGGTCTCCTCATCCCCTTATCAGGGCACTGATCCCACCATGGGGGCTCCCCCCTCATGATCTCATCCCCTCCCAAAGACCCCACCTCCTAACACCATCCTACTGGGGACTCAGGCTTCAACGTGAATTCTCGGGGACGCATTCAGCCCATAGTCCCCTCACAACAACATGGTGGCAGGAGTATCATTGACATTTCCCACATGAGGCAAGAGAAACTTAAGTGATCTGCCAAAGTTCACACAAAGCTAAGGAACATGTCCTGGGGAGTATCATTGTTCAAGTCCAGGAAAATTCCTTTCTACAAATCCAGGTGTGGATCAGGATGCTTCTGCATCAGCATTGGGCCAATAGACAGATGATGTCTTCTGCACCTACCTGCCTGAGACCACGTGGCCGTGGGGACAGTTCACCATGCTAGGCCAAGGGGAGGTCAAGGAATTATCAAGCCCAGAAAACATCGTTTTTCCTCAGTGCTGTGCATTCCTCAAGCCAGGACTCTGCACTGTGGGGCTTTATGCACCAACGGGCCTACAGCAGAGAGATCCGTAAGCTTATTATCAGTTACCATCATCATTTCACTGAGGTCTCCAAAGCATAAAAATCTATGACTTGATTTCTTGTATAAGTTGTATACAACGAAATGCACAATCATCAGGACACAGTTTGGTATGAGTTTGACAGATGTCTGTACCGTGCACCCCAATCAAGACATCGAGTATCCCATCATCCCAGAAAGTTGTCCTGAGCCCCTTCCTGTTCCATCCCCGCCCCCGAGTCTCCCTTCCTGATACCACGGCCAACCTGATTTCTGTAGGGCCTGTTTTCCAGCAGACATGCCAGAATGGGGGTGCCCATCAGGGCTGTCCTCTCCAAGGAGGTCACCCCTCCGAGGGGTTTATTCTAACGTGGGACTGGCAAGGCTCAGAGCACTTAGGATTCCAGATTTTGAGTTGCTTTCTGGGCCCCAGGAGAATCAACCTGAAGATTTTTTTGCTATATTGTCCTTGGCCCCACCTGAGGGTGTCACTGGAATGAAAAGGAAACTGGCCAGTGTCCACTCTGGTCATGTGCACAGCCAGGCCCATGAGCGGCTGGCCCCAAGTCCCAGAGAGGTCAGTGCAGTAGCAACCCGAAGGCCCCCCCAAAAAAGGAAAGATCCTGGGGTCCTGGCAGTTAAAGCCTAGACAGCTCTAGGACTAATCTCCTTAAAAAAAAAATCCATAACCAGAAGATTTAAAATATCTTTTTTAATATCTTCCTAATAAAATAAAAAACTCATCGCTTGGCAATTCAAGTTAAGCTTTTGCTTTAGCAAATCCATTGAAAGGAAATTTTTCTTCAAGGCATTTACACGAAATTGTGTTGGTGTGATAACAGAGCCCCAAGTATTTTAAATCAATCACAGCTGATGCGGCAGCTTCATCCACTTAGTGGTGTTTCCTGGAAGGTTATAGACGCTGATGCTTAGATTTCTCAAGTTGGGGGACTGCGAGCCCCAGGAATCTTGGTTCCTGTGTGAATAATGGGTGAACTTTGGAGATTGTCTTTTTCTAATCTGTGACTTAACTGTTTCACTTCCAGACACCACTTCTAAAAAAAAAAAAAATTGAAAAAATATCGGGGTGGGGAACACCCTAGAAGTGTTTGCAGAGGGCCTGACATGCTTGGAATTGTGAGCTCCGAGAAGATACGAGACTGGGTCAGTGGGGAGAGACTCTGCCGTTCGTGGACTCAGAATATCGAATGCAACATCGATTTGCTTTGTTTCCCGAAAGGGGTCTTAACGCATTGGACCTTTCAGAATGCTGACATCAGGCTGAGGGCGAGACGAGGTGGGAAACATGGGGGCTGCTGGGAGCCTGAGCTCCTTGAGCAGAGGTGTGCACCCACCCTGTGGGAAAATCTGTCCAGTTAACCGAAGTGACCCACCCGTTGGCTGGAAACAGCTCTGCGTACCTCTCCCGATTTGCTGAGTCCTCAGCTCATGGTGGCCACCGACTGATTTTGATAAGCAAAATGCAATCTTTGTTTTATTATTCTGGGCACATGTCATGCAGTGACACAGAATTTTGACTTTAGTATAAGATTTAAAACTCCTTCATACTGTCCTACAACTGTGTTAAGGTATACTGAGGTTGGCTACCCAGAAGTGAAAATGAAGATATTCCTGGGGTTTTTTGAGAACTCCAATCCTGGGCCCTGTTAAGAATTCACACTCTGATGCAGGTTTATATTATTGTTTGTCGTGTTTCCATCTCCGGCATCACCAGCATGCACACGGGGAATGTTGGTTCAGCACAGGATTGGTGGCGTGTGGTTTTCTAACGAGACTTGAAGTCGTCCAGTGTGTCAGCCCAGCTGTGACACATCCACACTTCTGCTATCTCAGCAGTCATCTGCGTGCTCCAAGAAAAATACCGTTATTCACGGACGTGCCCTTGTCATGAAATGGCTTGTACCCCAGGGAAAGTGGGAGGTGTTGGGGTCACTTGAGAACCAGGTCTTCCCCCACATAGAGAAGCCCTTATTCCCTCAACTCCTCTGAGACGCTGGTGGGTGCGAGAGGGCGGTGAACTTGGGGCACAGCCTGGGATCATTGGGCTGGGATGATGGACAGAGCTGAGAAAGTGGCCTGAAGGGTATTTATTTAATTTGTGGTTTGGTGTGGATGTAATCCCAGGGTTGAATTTTAACCTGAACTAGTCCAGAGCTTAAAGGTACTTGGAAGATGTGGCCAGATCCGAGGACCCTGCATGGCCAGGCAGCCTTGCCCCGTGGAAGTCAGCAGGAATAATGCTTAGTAAAGCCCTCAGCTAGCTTCCCTTGTGTGCATTGCTCTAGCTTGGTTTTAGGATCCATCCAGTCGGGCGATGCCTGAGCTACAGTGCCCAGATTTCGGGAAAAGTCCATGAAAGTCCATGCAGACCGCGACGCCTTCTGCTGTGCCCATGCCTGGTGCCCACTTCCGTTTCCTGTAGCCCCGGTGCTCCCACCTGCTCCCCAGGGTCACAGCCCTCATGGCACTCGGCCCTCTGTCCACGTACCCGGGACCCCCAGATCCCTGTCTGCCGTGCCCTGGGCTGACTGTGCCCCGCCGACGGCTGGTGTGGAGCAGGTGCGGAAGTGGCCAGGCTGGCCAGCGAGGCCCCTTTCCCACAGCTGCTGTGGACAGAGATATGTTAGCACATCCCGAGTTGGAGCCCAGAATGCTCTAGAAACACCGTTCTCACTGTGGTCAGGCCTGCTGCGAAATCAGGTAGGGTTTTGCTAGGCTGGCTCGTTCTGTGCTGCCCACTTACGTTGAAGCCTGGTCATGCGGTCCTTACGTGCCCGGTTCAACCTTGCGTCCAGAGGCTGCAAGGCCAGGACAAGTCTCAGGCCTATTTTGCAGTTCTTGACGCTGTTTCCTAGAACATCTTGTCCGGGGTCAGCACTGATGACCTGGCAGCTTATTATCCCAGTGAGGTGCTCTGAGCGACCTCAACAGAGGGTCCGGCGGGGCCCCAGGTGGATAAATCAGTTACCTCATGATTCTTGGTTTTGCTGTGATTCCATGCCTTACAGTTCTGATTATTCAAAGGACGTTGATGGGGAAAGGCTTCCGTGGGAAGAGATGTCATCATGGGCGAAGGCATTTGTGGAGATCCGTGGGATGGCTTAGTGTGCACTTTCTATAGGGAGGGCTCTTTCCTGTTCGTCCCCATCACACCAGACTTTCTCCATTGCATGAGATCGAAACAAAGCTCTCAAGTCATATTTACCGTGGAACACGCATATTGACGTCAGTTCAAAATCATGGTTTATTAAGTACTTGGACGCTGTGTCTGCTTTACTGAACGTTGATGTTCGGTGTGTCCGGCGCCCACTCGGCACAGGTCGCAAGCAGACCAAGCCACCTGGGACCTTGGTTTTAGGGTCATGGTGACAGTCTGTCTTGTGGGGCACAGCCCCAGCCTTGGACTGTGTGAGGGAGCTGGGGGATGTATCGTACATCATTGTACCGGTGAGAAGGTGCGTCCGGCACCTCTGAAGCTATTTTTTAAACTTCCTGACATACATTTAGATAATGATATTTTGCACATCGTGTGGAGACACTGTGGCGTGTAGACTCTTGATGGGCTTCTTTCATATTAACCATCTCTGAAGTACCTGGTTAGGGCATTTCAGTTGCTCGAAAACTGCCCTGGTGGTGGGT